ATATTTTAAGAAATATTTAGAGCCCTGGCCAGTTTGGCTCAGCGGTTAGAGCGTCGGCCTGCAGTCCGGAGAGACCCGGGTTTGGTTCCTGCTAAGGGCACGTACTTCGGTTGCAGTTTGTCCCCGGCCCTGGTTGGTCGTGCGGGTGGCAGCCACTCGATGTGTCCCTTCACGTCGATGTTTCTCTCTCTCTCTCCCTTCTTCTCTCTCCCTCCCACTCTATCTGTACAAAAAATGGAAAAATATCCTCGGGTGAGGATAAAAAAAAAATAAAATAAAAAGAAATATTTAGAAATGCAAGTACTCATACAAATTTTCCCTTATCACCTTACCTTCTTCTGGAAAGCTGCTATGCTCAAAATGGTGAAATAAAACAAGAAAAGAAAACATGAATACTGTTCTTTTTCATAGTCTTGTGGAACTATTTGACTTTATAGATTATGTGTATATAAAACTTGCTAAAAATTTTTTTAAATACTGAACTTTTATTTTAAAAAGATGAATTCTCACTCTCACCTTTTTTTTTCTTTTTTTTCTTTTTTCTTTTATTGACCAGAGAGAGAGAGAGAAACATTGATGAGAGAGAACAGTGATTGGCTGCCTCCTACATGCCCCGCGCTGGGGATTTGGCCCATAAGCGGGGCATGTGCCCTGACCAGGAATCCAACTGGTGACCTCTTGGTACATGGGTCAATGCTCAACCACTGAGCTACACCGGCTGGGCTAAACTCGCCTTTTTAAAAAAGGTTATACTGTGGCATCAGAAATATACATCTTTTGGAAATAATTGAGCTCATTATGAGAATAGGTGTTGTAGCTTGGTTAAAAAGAATCCTGTGTCAATAGCATACACGAATTCAAAAGTGCTGTGTGTCCAACTTAGGGTGCTTTGGAAACTACTAAGTGACTCTGATCATAGCAAAGGCATTGATAATGAAGATTCGAGTGAACAGTTCAAATAATATTGTTTCATAAAATGAGTAGCAAAAAATTTACTAAATTAATGTATTATTTCATGTAATATATATTTTTTAAGTACATATGTAACTAAATCAAATAGTCTAAGTAAAATAAAAAGAAAGTAAATGAGTTATCAAATGGCTTCCCCAAACATCTTTCATTTTCATTAAGGTGCTAATGAAAGCAAAATGAACTTGACCATCATTCCTCAAAAGCTGAGGCCATTAAAAAAAAAAAAAAGCTGAAACTATAACTTATTTGTATTGCATACCCATCTAAGACAGTCCTTCTTCCTCTCTATCACATCACCATTTCTTTCCTTCATAACTTTTACCACTATCTTATTTTGGTGTTTCTTTGTTGGTTTATGTGCTTAAAGTCCACCTCCTTCATGAGAATGTAAGCCCAATAAAAGCAGGGACCTTGCTGTTTATTCACAATGAAGCAGATTCTAAATGTTATCCAATGCCTCCCACATCATAGGCATTCAGTCAACATTAAGTATATAAAGAGTGAATGAATGAGCACTTTGTGGACCCAGTAGAAAATGTGCATTAATTAAATCTTCCTCACAAATTTGAGGTCACCTTCTGATCACTGGTAGGAAAAGTGCCTTCTTTCCAAACAGTTCTCACAAGTAATGGAGTATATGGTGATCACTGGTGTTGAAATCTTTCTACTCACTGAACAGAACCATGGTAGAGCTGTAGCTATTAGTAGCCTTTGTCCTGTGGGAAAATTCTCAAGTGTTTATAGAACTATCTTAGTTACAGAGAAACGTGGTCAACTAAGCAGATTTGGCACCACAGAGGAAATAAAGTAAACATAATGGAGTGGTGCTATGTATTCAAAAGCACACTAACTGGTTAACTGATCCACCTCAACAGGACATTTTGCTCGATTATCACTTTGAAGCCAGATTAATTCTAGTTTCACTTTACTTGGAACTCTTTGATGGCTCCACAGTGACTACAGAAAAGACTCAAATCTTCAGGATGGATCGAGCCTTTCCATAATCTGTTTTCCTCTCTCCCAATATCTAGTTTCTCTCTCACTAACTAGGCTTTAGCTGATGCAGTGTCCAGTTCCCTGAACAAGCCAGTCTGTTTCTTCTCACAATGCTTCTCTCACCCTGCTTTCTGCTTGGGAAGCCTTCCTCTCTGGGTCCACTCCATGGTCTACTTGCTGGTTACGACTCTGAAAACTTTTCTAGGTCTCTCCTCCAGAAGCAACCAATCCCTTGTTAGAGTGCAGCCTTCCACCCTCCCTTACTGGCTTCGCACAGAATCTCACCAATGGCTATGCCTAAAGCTGCATTTCCCACTGCTCTCCCCATTGTTTACCCCAGGCACCCTGGCCTCCTTGCCGTTCCTCCAAACCTCTATTCTTATTTGCCAAGAGTAAAGGATTTTCTGCCAGGTGTTTACATGGCGTGTTCCGTACTTCATTCAACTCTGCTCAAATGTCACCTCCTAAGAGATGTTGTATTTGATCCCTCTAACCAAAGAAGTTTCTCCCCTTCTCATTTTCTAAACAGAATTGCCCCACCTCTAGCCCCTTACCTTGCTTTACTTTCTCTTTGCAGTAGTGATCTAATCTTTTATTATATAATTATTAATGTATTTTTCCTCCCTTCTAGGAATGTAAGTTCTGTGAGGATGGGTCTTTGTTTTGTTCACTGCTATAAACATTTGTGAATGAATGAATGAATGAATGAATGAATGACACCTGAGACACTATTACAGGTTTTGGCTTAAGACTTCTGTCCTCCCCCTGCTGGACAGCTGGCACAAAGTAGCTTCTTAATATTCCTGTGTGACTGAATAATATCAAGTATAAATTACCTGTAACCACAGTTCCCAACAAAGGGACTCTGAATCTGTGCATACTACATAAGCTGAAGAATACAGTATATTTCCACAATCCTTTCATCTGAAAATCTTGGGATCAGATGTATTTCAAAATGCGGAATTGTTCACTACTTAACCTCCTAGTCATGTCTGGGGCAATAGTGTGTAATCAAACACAAGTTGCAACAAAACATGTGAAGAGTGTGATCAACAATGCCCAAGTAACTTTTTCTGTCATATGAGTTATCACATAAATTTGAAGTCTGGGATTTTATAATCGTGGGTACTAGCATGTATCTCTGTGCTTAAATGGGTTCCTTCACATCCCAGAAGGCTAAAAATCACTGATTTAATGCATTCATTTAAAACATCTATTTTCTGCCCTGGCCAGTTTGACTCAGCGGTTAGAGCGTCGGCTTGCAGTCCAGAGACCCGGGTTCAGTTCCCGCTAAGGGCATGTACCTCAGTTGCAGTTTGTCCCTGGCCCTGGTTGGGTCGTGTGGGTGGCAGCCACTTGATGTGTCCCTTTCACATCGATGTTTCTCACTCTCTCCCCCTCCCGATGGAAAAATGTCCTCGGGTGAGGATTTAAAAACAAAACAAAAAACATCTATTTTCTTTTCAGTATAGCTAACATTAATGAAGCATTAATTATGTGTCAACCCTTATGTTAGTCTCTTTAAATATGAAGGTAAAAACTATTTGCCCAGCCCGGCTGGTGTGGCTCAGCGGTTGAGCATCAACCCATGCACTGGTTCAATTCCTGGTCAGGATACATGCCCAGGTTGTGGGACCAATCCCCAGTAGGGGGCATGCAGGAGGCAGCCAATCAATGTCCTCTCTCATTGATGTTTCCTCTCCTCCCCATTCTCTTTCTCTCCCATCCCCTCTAAAATTAAGTAAGAAAAAAAAAAAAAAGCTATTTGCCCCATTTCATGAGTAAGGAAACTGAGATTAGTGACTTGTCTGCAGAGCTAGTCAATGGTTGAACTGGATCCAAACTGAAGCTGTCTTGTGATCAAAAGCCATGCTCTGGACTACCTGACTATCCTGACTCTCTCTAGTCTCAGATAAAAATTCTTCATTCCTCCCAAGTTTATTCGTGATGTTGAGCCAAAGGAAGTTTCCGTAATTCAAGTAAATATGAAAATCTTCAGACTTTCTGTCCCTCCGTGTATAAAAGAGGCTGGCTATACGTAGCCAACATTTAACTGATATTTGTAGAACAGAATAAGTTATTTCCTTAGCTACACCAACGTTTGAAACAGTTGTAATGACAGATCAAGTGGTTCCAGATCATTAAAATAATTATTTAGTCACACCAACTTGCCCCAAGGTGTGCTAGTCCCTGCCAGATGAGTAAGAATGATAGAAAAGAACATCAAAAAAGGCACTATCATAGATCATATGCAGATTTTTTATATTTATCTTTTTCAAGAACATCTTAGTTTGAATTTTTAAAATCAGGTGGAAGTTGATAAATGTATTTGTGATGACTAAATTCTGAAATGCTTTAGGAATTACCAAATATAGTAGTGATTTTGGGAATAAGAAAACTATTTTTTTAAAAAAATTCCTGCATAGAGCTACAGTTTCAATTGAAGATGCAGTGTTTTGGACTTGGCCACACTTACGTGACAGCTTCAAAATATGAAATGTAAGAGCAGCAGAAAATACAACACACATGCATTTTATGATACAAAAGGGGATAATATGAACATGAAGACCAAGAAATGAAAATAACATGTACACTAAAAAAAAAAAAAAAATCACAACAGAAACAGGCTTTATTTCAATCAGACAAGTGAATACTTCAATTAACATCAGCTTCTTCAAGACCTGAATATATGGAAATTAAAGGTGGTGCTCAGGAGCCAGAGAAGGAAAAATTCATCACGGAGCAGTGTACTACCCTTGCAAAATCCCTTTCAACAAAATGCTCAATGCCAAAATTTCGTTAGTTCTAAATCTTTAGCTCTCGTGTATTTCAATGTTCGTCTAAGATTCACATTTGAAAGTTACCCATCAGTCCCAATGATGTCTTTTAAAAAGAAAAACAAACAAATACACATATATATATATAAAATCAGTACCATAATTTTTTTAAATTTTAGAAACTGAGATCGAAATACAGCTTTTAGTTTAAAATATTTCAAATGAAAAAACTTTATTATTATTTTAGATGACTTGTTACAAAGCTCCTAAGTATACATACATGTATAAAACAAAAAGTTATTACTATCTGACACCTCAATCCCCGACTTCTCCTAACCCTCCCAGTGTGAACAGTTAATCTACCGGGAGAATTCGCCCTATACTTTTCAGTGTCCTGCACAAGGATTTCATTTATACTTTGTGCACAGTTGAAGACATTTCATTATAGAACATTTCAACTTAATATAACCTAATAGAAAATAAATCCAACAAGACACCACACTCATAGGGATATGATAAAATTGCATATGATTTTCAACTTTTACCAGACGCCTTGAATTCATGAACACTTTCAGAGTTTCCCCTTCAAGGGCACTTTTGAGAGGTTCAGGTCTCATGCCTAACTTCGTACTGATTTGGACAGCACCTTGAGTTATCTGAACAAACACAGTGAAGGAAGGTAAGGTGGGGAGGAGGAGTCATCCGAGGACAGAAACAGGAGCAAAGACTCTTTTTCCATAAGACATTCAAACAGAAAAAAATCAAGACAATAAAAGGTAAACAAACAAACAAAATAGTGTTCACAGTAAAACATGCCAGATTTGTAGTTTCATTTGAAACCAACAGCAAATCATGAAACGTCATGAAAAAATATAAGTAAAGGTAAAATCTCCTAGAGTAATTACTAAACGAATTTAAAATTACCACACTGATCAGTAAACCCCAGAAGAAGTATAAACAGCACTTATATTTCAGGTCCTTCTTAAACATCATACAACTCTTCGAAGTTAATGCATAAAATTGGTAGGTTTGGCCACGCTGCACAAAATGTTTGTTGTTTTGTTTTTCTTAAAAATACAGTGTACAGAAAAAAAAACTCTTGTATTCCCCATTTTGAATCATAAGCTCAAAACCCAAGAGGAAAAGATCAGCTTTTTAATGATTTAGAAAATCCAGCATGAATGGCTTGGCTTCCGTCCCGTAGCGACTTTCACCTTCTCCAGCAGCGATTCCGGGTCTCTGTTCTCACAGAGGACTGTTCCGTCCATGGCTCATCTCTACTGGTCGTCGGTCATTTTGAACAGTTCCAACAGTGCCCCGACAGCTCCAAAGTAACCCTACAAAAACAATGGGAAAACTGCAGGATTTCCTCTGAACTCAGCCAAATATGAGCATTTTTAATAATTCTGGGAATGCTGCCCCGTAATGTTGTAGCTAAAAGAAATTTAAAACCTTAACTCTGGCCCTGGCCAGTTTGGCTCAGCGGTTAGAGCGTCGGCCTGCGGTCCGGAGAGACCCGGGTTCGGTTCCCGCTAAGGGCACGTGCTTCGGTTGCAGTTTGTCCCCGGCCCTGGCTGGTCGTGCGGGTGGCAGCCACTCGATGTGTCCCTTCACGTCGATGTTTCTCTCTCTCTCTCCCTTCCTTTCTCTCCCTCCCACTCTATCTGTACAAAAAACTGAAAAATATCCTCGGGTGAGGATAAAAAAAATAAAAAATAAAAAAATAAAACCTTAACTCTGCCATGAAACATGGTGGAAGGATGCTAATGCTATTACCAATAATGAAATGTTTTGGATATTGATTTGTTTATTATACATATTAAATAAGTTGACTGATGTAAAATGCTTAGAAAAAGGGCACCCAGTGTGAGCTACTGAAGTGCTGTGTGTTGTTAGTAGTATAACGATTTCATTTTCATTCTTGCCGTGGCAAAGTTTGTGTTATTATCCCCATTTCACAGATGAGAAATGGAAGGCAATAAAGTAAATTATCTTTGCAGGATCCCATGACACATGCCAGGGCTCAAGCCCAAATCTATCTGACTTTGAAGCTGCAATATCTCACAGGGAAGAACTGTAAGAGTCCCTCAGTCGATCTTGGAAAGGCAGCCAAATCAGCCCATTTCACTTTGCTCACCTGTAAAAGAAAAGCTCATGCTTCTGTGAAAATGACAGAAACTGAAAACGAGAAATGTTTCAAGGAACTGGTTTCAGAAAGGCAGGAGACTCCACTCCTCCGGTATATGCCTACCTCGAAAGTCACTGCAGAAGCAGGTGCCAAAATGCCAGAACACTGCATGGCAGCACCTTTGACTCCACCGTCGCTGGCCCGCATTGATTGAGGGCTCACTAATTGTTCTAAGCACTTTACATGGACTTCCTCATTTAATCTGCACAATAACTTCAGAAGACATACTATTATGTTGCTGTTTTACAAATGCTAACACAGAGGTGGAAAGGTAAAGTCACTGCCCAAGGTCTGCCAGCCATAAGAGGCTGTGCTCTTAACCGCTGGGCTAGACGTCTTAGGAGACGCTCACTAACATAAACCAAATACATGACAGACGGAGTGAGTGACGACTCTTGAAGCAGGGCAGGAAAGCCACCATACCAGTCAGTGCTCCCCAAAAGTCCTCTCTCCACAGCTCCTCCAGTGAGGCCTGCCTAAGCCGGAGTGAACTTAAGAATGGAGAATTTTCTGATACCTACAAGGGGTTATAAAGTCATTCCGGTTTCATTGGCTATGGAGACTTGAGTTATGTATGATACAGAGTAACAAACCAAAGCCATGGTCCACAGAGGCCTAGGATGGTACAAAGTGCCATGCATTTTTACCCACACAAGTCGATTTCTCTAAAACGTTGGCTCTTGCCCTGGCTGGTTTGGCTCAGCGGTTGGAGCATCGGCCTGCGGTACAGAGAGACCCGGGTTCGGTTCCCGCTAAATCGTTGGCTCTTATTCCCTGTCTTACCAGCGATTAACTAGCAAAGTACCCTTGTAGATGGCTTTTAATCCCTGGTGGCTTCTAGATGTGTTTTCTGCATTAGTCCAAGAGACTCTGGACTTAGGGCTGCCAGATAAAATATAGATAAATGCCAGATAAAATAACCGTGTCCTGTATTTTTAATCGCTAAATATGGCAACACTAGCTGGGCCTTAACTATTTAATATTTAAGTTCCTATTGTTTTGTTTTAATAGAAATAAAATATGGGCTTAGCTCTAAATACCTTAAAATGGATCAGTAACTCTTCAAATAAATAATTCAGTTTGGCAATGAGAAAAATGCCACAGTAGTTACTCCTTACAATTGAAATGTATGCCACTTCTCTCAATACTTTTTCTGCTGCAATTATACCCTTGGGCTTAGGTATGTCCTATGATAAATAGTTGCTCTTTACACTACTGAATTTAAAAGGGGGACCCTGGCCAGTTTCACTCAGCAGTTAGAGCGTCGGCCCTCAGACCAGAGAATCCCGGGTTCGGTTCCCACTAAGGGCACGTACCTCAGTTGCAATTTGTCCCTAGGTCCAGTTGGTGTCGTGTGGGTGGCAACCAGTGGATGTGTCTCTCTAACATCAATGTTTCTCCCTCTCTCTTCCCCCCCTCTCCCTCCTGCTCTATCTGAAGATAAATGCAAAAATGTCCTCGGGTGAGGACAAAAAAATAAATAAATAAATAAATAAAATGGGGGGAGGGGGTGACAAGAGAGAGGAGCCCCTTGCTCACTTTCAGAAATCTCTGGTTTGTATTAGTGTAGAAACTCTGTATAAGGAACTCTGAATTAACTGACGCACTCTGTTTCTTCTGTAAAGGGGCTGGTTCTGTCCAGGTATACCAGTCGCTCAAGGCCAGAAAGTGCCTCTTACTAACACCTTCTGTTTTCACCAATTCAGTTGTTTACTCACTAAAAGTCAGCTGTGTTTTTCCTCAACTTTGTTTATGACCATTTGATTGTTAGTATGATAATCTAATTTAACTATATACCAACTCAACTAATAAAAAGAGTATAGAATGGTCACTTCTATAAAAACCCAGTTCAATTCTTGAAAATGAACGAGAAAAGTAGTTAATATTGAAAGCTGCTAAGGGAGTAAATCTAAAAAATTCTCATCACGAGGAAAAATAATCTTTTTTTTAATATATATATTTTTCTGTCCAGCCATTGTAGCTCAGTGGTTGAGCGTCAACCACTCAAGAGGTCACTGGTTTGATTCCTGGTCAGGACACAAGCCCAGGTTGTGGGCCCAATGCCCAGTGGGGGGTGTGCAGGAGGTGGCTAGATGATGTTCTCTCTCATCGATATTTCTATCTCTCTCTCCCTCTCACTTCCTCTCTCTCTAAAATCAATAAAGAAAATATATATATATTCCCTGTCTTACCATCGATTAACTATCAAAGTGCCCTTCTAGATGGCTTTTAATCCCTGGTGGCTTCTAGCTGTGTTTTCTGCATTAGTCCAAGAGACTCTGGACTTAGGGACTTAGGGCTGCCAGATAAAATATAGATAAATGCCAGATAAAATAAATATATATATATATATATATATATATATATATATACACACACACACACATACACACACATATATATATTTTTTTCTTTTTTTTTTCTTTATTGATTTTAGAGAGAAAGGAAGAGAGAGATGGAAACATTGATGAGAGAGAACATTGATTGGCTGCCTCTTGCTTGCCCCCACTGGGGATCGGGCCCACAGTCTGGGCATGTGCGCTGACCAGGAATCAAACTGGTGACCTCTTGGTGCATAGGTCGACGCTCAACCACTGAGCCACACCAACCAGGCAGAAAAATAATCTTTTTAACAATGCGTGGTGATGAATGATAACCAAACTTATTGTGGTAATAACTCTGTAATATATACATATACCAAACCTTTATGTTTTATACCTAAAAGTTATACAATGTTTTATGTCAATTATATCTTAACAAAAGTGGAACCAAAATGAAACAAAGACTGAAAAAGCGAGTCACAAGCATGCTATGCAGGTGGGTGCCACATATGAAAGATTGAGGGGAAAAGCTACAGTCCCACAACCAAATTGCTGTATAAGTATCCTTAACTTGATCCACTTTAAAGAAACACGCGAGAAATCAAAGAAGGTGCACAATACAAAAAAAAAAAATATGAACAACAAGGTAACTACAGAGCTCCAACCAGAACGCATGCTCAAAAATAGGCTTGGTCCAACATAAAAGAACTGGTGAATAAGAAGGCACATGTGTATATTTGTGTTAAAATAAAATAGTTAAAGTAGGGAGATATTTTTTAATGACTACGCATTTTAACTGATATTTTTTTATTAACCTACTACCAGTCCTAATTGTTGGATAAGAAAACCTTCATCTTATATATTGTTCTTTGTTATCTTCTGCATAACAGAAGGGACCTACTCATATGCTAGACAAACCAAAACGCTTCCACATAGTACAGTTAAGTCCATGCAAGCTCAACCTACCTCATGTTCCAAAAACAGAGCTTTTAGCTGTCCTTTGGACCAAAAATCCATGGCATATGCTAGCAGCTTCATGGAGACCATATTGATTCTGAGAAAGTTCCCAACAAACACAACTCTGTCAATATTCTGGGGGGAAAATTAAAAAGAAAAAAACACAATTGAACCATGACATAAAAAATAGCATTTAGCACAGCCCCGATGTTCCATACATCACTGTAATCCCAGAACCTTGCAGAGTAAATATTTTTTATTAAAAGTGGAATTATTTCGGCATTTCCAAGATGAATTTAAGCAAACCTGAATCCCACAAGAATTTTGAGATTTTGTTTGGACGAGGCAGAGACCGACACTGGGCTATCCGCAGGCATTATGGTAGGTTGCCTTAAGTCTGATACAAAATTAGCTCTCAACACTCTTATATAAAATTGTAACTGGCGTTCAAGTGCAGCTAAATTTGCTTGTATATCCCTTCAATCCTCCAAACTTCAGACTGTAAAATATTACTATAACCAACTCATAAATACAATGGCCATGGTATGGGTTATTCTTCTCATGCATTTACTCAGTTTGCTCTGTGCTTAACAATGGGAATACAAAAAGAAACAATACTTTCTACCTTTAGAATATATGGTGGAACATCCTGTTTGGTCAACACACTGGTTAAAATATGGTAAAAAAAATACGTCTATATTTTTGTTGTCATGGATACAGATTTGCATTCTGAATAACACACAACACTGAGCTAGGCTGGTCTACCATGCAGAGGCTGCTCACCATTCACTCACTCACAGAGCCCGTTGCTATGGTCACTCATATCAAAGGGAAGAGAGTCTTGGAAGCTGGCATTATTTTCTGTTCAGTCTATCAAGAGTAACAAGGTCTGGGAACATCACCTTTTAACTGTCTCAAGTCTTAACAATGCATGTTCATTAACCCATTATCCACTGTGGAAAAATGTCCACGGCTCGAGGGGTGGGAGGTGCTATTAATAAATGTCCACAAATTGGAACTATCGCCGCAAACCACCCAGACTGAGAGGTGGCAAGGAACATTCAAAATAAGAAACTCAGATTAAGGAGGAATTTAATTAAATTTAGGAATTTCACCTTTCCCCCAAAAACAAGGGAATCCAAGGTCGAACTTGCTCCAAACCCAGTCCCGCTTCACTCGGGGGGACAGCCAAAGGGAAGAGAAGTGGCACTAAAAGCGGATGGACATTCCTCATTTCAAACAAATTCCAGTTGTGTGAAAGATATACATGCTAACTTTTTTTCAGAGAGAGAGTAATGAAGAAAAATTAGATTAGAAGAAAACACGAAAGAATTCTTTTCAAAAGTAGTGCTGAAGTAGAAAAGGTATAATAAATACTAAGAATCCATTTAAAAAATTAAATATTTATTCTGGGGAAAGACATCACCAAAAATAAATCCAAAAGGAGAGCAATAATCAAAAAATACTTGCAGTACATATAACATAAAATGTATTATTTACCTATAGATCAATAAGAAAAAAAGACCACCAATTCAATAGAAAAATGTGTGAGCAGCATTGATAGCTCACATATAAACAAAAGGAGAAATACTTGCTTGGCCGGTGTGGCTCAGTGGATTGAGTGTCATCCCATGGACTGTGAGGACCTGGTTTGATTCCCAGTCAGGGCAGGTGCCTGGGTTGCAGGCTCATCCCCAGTAGGGGGTGTGCAGGAGGCAGCCGATCTATGTTTCTCTGTCTCACTGATGTTTTTATCTCTCTCTCCCTTCCTCTCTCTCTACAAATATCATTAAAAACATTTTTTTTAAAAAAAAAAAAGAAGAAATACTCATGGCTATTAAATGAATAAAAAAATGTTCAGCCTCATTTATAATATGATACAAATTTAAAACCAAAATAAGGTAGCATTTCTCATCTATTACATTGGAAATAAAAAAGTTTGATAACACTCTGGAGAAATGTATAGTCTGCTTGTAGGAAATTAATTAGAACCACCTCTACCTGTCAAAATTCCTCTTAGGAATTTATTCTATACATATATTCCATGTATGCAAAATGGAGTGTGGGGGGTGCACATAACAAATTTTTAAATAATACCAAAGTCTAGAAAACCCTAAATATCATTAGAAAAATGATCAAATCTAGAATAGTATATCTACATGTTAGGATGCTTTATGGCCATTAAAAAAGATGAACTAATTCTAAATATACCTACATGAACAATCTCAAGATGTAGTATCATGTGAAAAAGCAAGAAGCATCATTTACTGAAGTGTATCTTGAAGTATGTAGGTTGGACTGATAGATAATGTCTGGGATTTGCCTTCTAATATTTTAGCAAAAAAAGAGAAGAGGAAGAAAACAGAGAAAGATGAAACATGTATGACAAAGTCTTAATAACTGCTGAGTCTTGATGGCTACACGGAGGTTCTTTATATTCCTCTCTCCTTTATATATGTTCACCAATTTCATACTAAAAGGTTGATGAACAACCAAAGCAGGATGTAGAATATTGTATGTAGAAGGTGAATGGCACGGCATGTGATTATATCTCAATAAAACTCATTAAAAAAAGAATGTTATATAGAGTGTGCTACCTTTGAAAGGATATGCTTATCCTATACTGCATACTTCTATATAGCAAAAAAACAAAAACAAAAAAACTAAAAACAATGGCTGCCTCTAGTGAGGTTAACATTGAGAACCAGCAGTGGACATGGTGACTCACTTCCCCGGATACCCTTCTGGTGTCTCCAGAACCCTCTATTATGTGTGTGCATTCTTCTCTCTTCAATAAAATGAATAAAAACACTTAAAGTCGAGGTAGAAGCATGTCATAGCAATCCAATAACCACAGCAAAAATATTTTAGATTTAGTGCATGTGGTTGAAATCAAAGATTCTCCCATAGTGACTCCAGGGAGCAAAACCATAACTGAAGAACTTGCATCACTGCTCTCACAGGGACATGTGGTGTGTCCACAGGAGTCTGCTGGGCAGGATGCCAGCCAACAGCCTGAGGCCAGCCGTGACTCCTCTCATTCATCCAATACCACACAAACCTCTAAAAAGTTACCTAAATAGCGTGTAACACTTTCCAACTGCCACTTATGCTATGGTTATAAAATAAATGGTACTGAAATTGAAATCAAAAGTTAAAAATAAACTCCGTTGTCCTCCCTCTACAGTGGTCACGACACCTGCTGGCTCACTCCAGCTCTGTGGGGAGTAGGGGAAAGGGCAGCTATTGCTCTGTTCCCACTGAATTGACCTTTGAGAGCCCATGGTACAGCCAACTACACGTGTTAGTCTTAGGGCTTGTTCGGCTCCTTGGAAAAAACTCTTGGAATCCCATGACGGAAGTGGACTTTGAAAAGGTATGTATGTCTCTGCCCGGCCTGAGTGACTCGGTTGGGTGTCGTCCTGTGTACCAAAGGGTTGCTGGTTAGATTCCAGGTTGCAGGTTCGATCCCTAGTTAGGGCCCGTGGGGAAAGCAGTTGATCAGTGTTTCTCTTTCTCTCCCTTTCTATCTCTAAGCACGTCCTCAGGTAAGGATTAAAGAAAAAAGGAGCCCTGGCCAGTTTGGCTCAGCGGTTAGAGTGTCAGCCTGCGGTCCGGAGAGACCCGGGTTCGGTTCCCGCTAAGGGCATGTACCTCGGTTGCAGTTTGTCCCCGGCCCTGGTTGGTCGTGCGGGTGGCAGCCACTCGATGTGTCCCTTTCACATCGATGTTTCTCTCTCTCTCCTTCTTCTCTATCTGTACAAAAAATGGAAAAATATCTTCGGGTGAGGATAAAAAAAAAAAAAAAGAAAAAAGGAAAAGGTATGTCTCTGGAATACATTCTTTCATCTGAATACCAGCTTCACATTTAATCTCCATCCGAAATGGAGACTTATAAAAAGTATGACCCCGTTCGGGGGCAGAGTGTCGGTCCAGGAGCCACGGCCCAGTTCGTGTGGAACCTCAGGGAGGCGGCCTCGGCACTGGTCACCACTGCTGTGACTTACGCGAAACCTCAGCTGGCCACATTTTGGCACTATGCCAAGGTGGAGCTGATTCCACCCACCCCTGCTGAGATCCCTGCAGCTATTCAGGGCTTGAAAATAATAGGCAGTAGTGCTCAGACTGGTAGCTTCGAGCAGCTCAGTGAAGCAAGCTCTGCTGAAGGGTTTGGTGGCCACGGAGGTGTGGGATGTGGTTTTACATCAGCGAGATCATAGGCAAGTGTGGTATCACTGGCTAAAGACCAATCTTCAACATGTTTCTTTTTGGTTTATTATTTGAATGTTCTTGGACCATGAAAGTTCAGAGTGGTATTTGAATAAAAAAAGATATGTTGAAATCAATGTTTTCTGTATCAAACACTACATGGGAAGGTCACAGTTTCTCTTGATATTAGGTTGGACTGTCTTTTGCTTTAATAACATTAATACAATTCTAAATGCATGTCTTTGCTTAGCTTGAAAACGGAAAGCATATATATGAACATATCAACCTGGTACATATGAGGATAACATTTTAATTTGAAGGTTGGAAATATATTTTATTTCCAGAAAAGTTGGGAAAGGCCTTGAGAAAACTAGAGGTTGCTGCAGTAGGAGAAATAGTAATACCATGTACTAGAGTTAAATTATATCACTAGTAAAGAATAAAATTTGGAAGGTTTCTCTTTGCTGAAGTCAGAGGACCTTTTGACAACACCTATGTCTGTAAATGTTGGGATATTTGGTGGTACTTTTTTTTTCTTTATAACATCTTTAATGCCAAGACAGTGAATGAAAACCATGACCTATGTTTTTAATCTGATTTTGATATGTGTATCATTACTAATCTATCTGGTTTTATGATTTGTAGAACCTACCATTGCTCAAATAAAATTCCCTATGAATTTAAAAAATAAATAAATACAAAGTATGACCCTGACCAACAGGCCAGCGACATATTCAATACCATGAAAGGAGGGTGACTCTCTTGTAACCCCAGAGCTCAAAGCAGGACTGGCACCCACCTACCATAAAGGCTGTCTCACACCCTGTTTAACACTCGACTATTCAATTAGGCGGGGATTAGAGCAGTTTCCGCAGGACCTGTAATGTTCTCTTCCTTAATCTGGGTGGTGGCTATACCGGTGTGCATGGGATAATTCATCCAGCTGTACACAGATGCTTCTGTATGTATGTTGCATTTCGGTTAAAATTTTTTTCATTTCATTTATTTATTTTCTTCTTTATTGATTTTTAGAGAAAGAGAAGGGAGAGAGAGATAGAAACATCAATGAGCAAGAACATCAACTGGCCACCTCCTGCATGTTCCCCACTGGGGATCAGGCCCATAACCCAGGGAATTACTGGCGACCTCTTCATGCACAGGTTGACGCTCAAACACTGAGCCACACTGGCAGGGCACAATTTTTACTTTTTAAATTTTATTTATTTATTTATTTATTTATTTATTTATTTATTTATTTATTTATTATATTTTATCCCCACCGGAGGCTATTTTTCCCTTTATCTTCAGATAGAGTAGGAGGGAGGGAGGGTGGGAAGGGGAGAGAGGGGGAGAGAAAGAGAGAAAGAGAGAAAGAGAGAGAGAAAGAGAGAGAAACATCGATGTGAGAGGGACACATTGACTGGTCACCTTCCACATGACCCTGACCAGGGCCAGGGACAAACCACAACTGAGGTACGCGCCCTTGACCAGAATTGAACCTGCAACTCTTTGGTCCATGGCCCAAAGGTCTAACTGCTAAGCCAAACTGGCCAGGGCCAAAATTTTTATTTTAAAAAATTCTATTGCTGATGCTACTATGATGTCTTTTTGTTTTTAAAAAAACATATTGATTTGAGAGAGAGAGAAGCATTGATTTGTTGCTCCACCTATTTATGCATTCATTGGTTGATTCTTGTATGTTCCCTAAGGGGAGATCAACCCCGCAACCTTGGTGTATTGGGATGGTGCTCTAACCAACTGAGCTACCCACCAGGGCGCTACTATGATTCTTTAATACTTCTACTACTGGTTCCATGCCCAATCCTCTTTCTTGTCTTCCAACACTGCTCAGTAAGAGTCGGTCCACTTTACACATTTTCCATTTCAGAAAAGTGTTCTATTTTTTTCTCAAAGGAAATTTACAATATTTCAAACACGTTACCAACGCTCTGTCTGTGACCAGCTCTACCCCTCCTTGCGCCTGGGGCTCTGGCTGGCCGTAGCTGTAGCAAGCTCTCTGTGCTTTGATAGCCCTGTACAATGCTGCTTGAACTCCATGCCACAAGGCAACACTGTAAAGAAGCTGAAAGCAGAGAGAATATCGAGTATTGCAAGTGGAACTCTTCACCCACAAATATTTGCAAGGGTGCACAGAGCTTTCTCTCCGACTTTAGTAGGCACATGGTAAAGATGACGGGTAGAGAGGCTAAGGCATCGGTTGTTATTTTACCATGTTTCTTCTATAGACGGATGATTTTATTTGTTATCATCCAGTGCCTACTTAAAAATAAAACACATATTCTTCCACCTCCCCCACCCCCCCACATACACCCTTCTTAGTTCTACAAGGTGTGACTACAACACAGGGCAGGTTTCCCAAGGATTGTAGTGTGCAAGGGTCAACAGTTATTGTACTGCCAAAGGTGATGTGTATAAATGATGCCCGCCTTTCCCTGGGGTCAGGCCTTACCTCATTCAACGCGCACATCCGAGCAATGGAACCAATGTTGTTGGTGATGGTGACCAGTGTGGCTCGGGCAAGGTCTTCCTTGCTGATGGACTCTCGCTTTTCCTTACTCATCATGTTGCCAAAGCTATGTTGGAAATATTAGCGAGAGCATTCAAAATCATCCTCAGGCAGACCCCATGCTTCCACCAAAATACTGTAAAAAGCTGTTTGAATAACTGTTCAAACTCAAATGACCCACTTTTGCTGCCATGGTTTACAAGCAGACAGGATTACAATATGAATGGTTGGCTGCTCTTTTCTTAATAGAAACAAAATAGCATGGCTCTTAATGGGGGGTGGGGGGGGCGGCATTTTTTTTTAATGCCTCTAGATATCTGGACAAGAATGAAACAGGAAACTGTCGCAGTTTTCCAGAACCTTCTTTCAAAGCTGCCCTATTTTAAGCACAAGCATCAAGAGCTAAACATCTCAGTGCTTCATAAAGGGCAGGAGATCGAATCTGAGCTCCAATCCCATAGGTAGTTGCACCTGGTGGGCTGAGATCTTTAAAAAGAACTAAATGAATAGCCAGGGTGGAGAGGTTGCCTTGTGTTTAAGCACTACTGTCCCTAGCCACTTCGTCTCTACCTTGATGCTACAGCAGATCCTTGAAGGCCAAATCGTTCATAGTCTCCTCCGTAAATGTCCTTCACCAGCTTATCAACATTGGTGCTGTCGCCTTTAGCTGCCATTTCCAGAGCTTCTTCAAAGGTCTCACAACCAGTCAGCAAGCAACATAGGCCTAGGAATGTTCCACCTCCAAGACTGAAGGAACAATAACGTTTACAGATTTTACTTAAAAATATGCCCATCCAAGTCCCCAACGACATCAAGACCCCTAATATAGGTTAATAAAAACAAGAAAAACAAAGAGGCACTTGAATTCAAGTGCAAGGGCGCCAAAGAGCTTTAGGGTCGATTGGATTAAATAAAAAGAGGGCAGAGACTAAAAAGGAACATCAAGGAAAACTCGCCCCTGAATTTACGAGCAAAACCAGAGATCCTCACTGATTTCTGTTGTGAGACCTTCAACTTAGCCACTAACCTAAGTGTTTCATTCAGTCTCCCCACCTATAAAATGAGGCCAAATCATAATTGCTCTCATTTGGCGGCTTTGAAAGCAGTGGACAACCAGAGAGATGACTGTTATATATTTTATATATGTAGCAGGAATACAAATACTTAGAAAAAGAAACTCTGTGTACAGGAAGCTGAGTTCGTGTCTATGGAGCCAAACTCTGAGGACCAAATTGACCTAGGACTCAGCCAGGAATAGCCACTTGCTATTTCACCTGACCTTGCTTCTCTAGCTGGGATCATCGCGTTTAACCTCCTTGAAAACTTCTGAAAGGAAGCCACTGATTGGTCTCATATGGTATTTTTTTCTAGTAGACTCTGGAAAAAGTTAATATTTCACTTGCCACCAAGAGTCAAAAAACTGGTATCAAAGGCCAAAATGGTTCCAAAGCTCAAACTAGGTTTCAAAAGCTTTTGATTGTTTGAGGGGGAAATTCCTCTAGAAGAGTCATTTTAGACAATATTAGAAACGGAATATGGTCGTAGAGAATAAACTCAATTGTATATTAATATCAGTTACCCGAGGGAAAGGAAAGCAGATTCGGGGTAAAGCTACCACTAGTGAACTCCAGGTAGGACAAGGAACAGCGATGGGACCGTGGGTTTTACCATTCACCATGCAGAATGGTAAATGTGAAGAGTAAACTGTTCCCATCAATTCCTTCTGAAGCTCCAAGAGCTGCTAGCCCTGGGAATCCCTTATGTGTTTGGATACTGGCTTCTAATTCTAAGAGAAAATTCAAGTTGAGATTAAGGTTATTTTTAACTTATATTAGCAAAAAGAAAATTTAGGGTGAAGTGTATTTACTATCCATAACCACAAACCAGAAAGTACCAGATTGTAGACAGGTGTGTGGTTCTTTAAGTCACATCTAAAGCAAAAGTGTACGTAATGTTTCTTAACTCATGATTCTTGCAAAAATACACACTTGATGGAAATTAAGGGTTCTCGTAGAAAATTGGTAGCTAAGCACCACCAGTAGCAGCTATCCAAACTGTAGATACAATACCATGAGGATATAAAGAGCTCCATGGACACTGTTGCCTTGACAACCCGGTCACAGTGGAGATTTTGGATTGCCTCTAAGCAAGTTTATCTTCATTGACACCTAACTCGGAGAACTATGCGATGTCAGTCCGAGCCTACCCTCCAAGGCCACTGTGTTTTAATGGGAGCATGTTTTGGTTGGCATGCCAGCTGCATTTGCCTTGCTTTCTCTCTGTATATATTTTTAAAGTCTTTGCTCCTATTTCTAGCTTTATCTTTCATCGACAGGACCTTTCTTTGCAGAGATTGGGACTAATCAAGGCATTCAACAACCTACTCCAAACATAGGCAACTGAAGGTACTGGCTGACTTAGAAAGAAGGCAACTCATCAACTGATGTGTTGGTATGAGTGAAAGAGAACAAGTGCTTTGTATGACTGGGGATGACAGGTGACTCCAGACGAAGACGCGAAGCCGCAGGGGAAAGCGAGCATGCATTGGCACGGCTGGCACGCTGCAGTTGGAGGAAAGAATGCACAGTCGCAGAAGAGCGCTTTTTTACTATCCCAGCCCACTGGGCAAGTGGTTCTCTTGCTCATAATCAGATACATCTGTTTGTTTCAGCAGACATACAGTAAGACCCTCAGCAAATGAGAGACAAAAACATATCACTAGAAACAGCCATTGAATATCATTTTTTAAAAAAACCCAACAACGTTATAGTGAGGGATTTTAGGGAGAAGTCAAAGAAACCTTCAATTACTGAGTGCTTATGCCCTTGATATAGATTCCAAAACAATGAGATGAGCTGTACTGCTACACTCTCTGAAGTTTCAAAATTCCTTACATTCCTCTTTCAATAGTCTACACATTCTAACAATGTCAAATGTAAAGTCCTGTTTGCTTTTTCATCGACTCCTATAGTAAAACTGGAGTTGTGTCCATTGAAAAGAAATATTGCTAACAAATCTAGGATACAATAAAATTACACATAACACTGAAGCAAACTATTAGAAATCATGTTTACAAGAAAACTGGTAGTCATGACCAAGGCTTTGAGAATGCAACTTCTCATTTGCTGTGGACATGACCACAAAATATTTCCCCATTAGGTTTTTATCTGCTACGTTGATAGCATTCAGCCTATTGGGAACATTTTCTTAACCCTTATTTTCATTGTTTAGATTAGCACTGTACCATATAAAGACGACACAGGCTATATGTGCTAGCCATTGGTGATCAGTGAGATTTTACATAGCTGCCTTAGATCTCTGGAGTCTTGCAGATGTCCTCTATCTAGCTAATCCTTCTAGGTTGCTAGTGACCAGATAGTCTGTGATCACATGATCATCTCTATTCCTGTTATATAGACTGACTGAAATGACAACTGGATTGAGCAAAACAAAAAAGGGATTAAGAGCCAAACTCGGCAATGTGTGGAAGGACCCAGAACATGTGAAATTCCTTAAATAAAAATTTATTAACTTTAAATAATTGTGCCTATGTTGCAAATAATGCAAACCCATTACTCTAAAAAACAAAAATAAATTAATAAAAGAAAACTGATGTTCTGTATGATGTGGCTTCCTAAAAATAAAAATGCTTAATGAGGAAATAGGGTATAATACCGTAGCGACAACCTGGAGTTATAGCTATCAGTTCACAAGAGCAGCAAAACCTAAAGCTTAAGCCATTTGCTTAGATCAGTGATTCCCAAAGTGTGTTCCATGCACTGAGGCTCACTGCTGACCATAATCGTTTATATCTGTGGTATTTTAACTCAGATCAAAAGAAAACTCTGGTAGAACAACTCTGGTTGGACAAGGAAGATCTGGGGCCCAGACAGATGTCTCATTCCCCTCGCCTACCTGTGGCAGCCCCTGCTAGGGCTCTTTATTAACATTCAGTCTCCTGTAGCATACTTCCACAACTACTGATTAGAGAGCTTGTGGCTAAGCTTGGACGTCCAGACGGGATTTGTTGATGATCACAAAGCACTGGTCATTAATGAGCATTTACCAATAACTAAAGTTTATAGGCATTATTACACATGGAACAGAAGTCAAGCACCAAGCCGGTGTGGCTCAGTGGTTGAGTGTCGAACCATGCACCAGGAGGCCACCGGTTCAATTCCCAGTCAGGGTACTTACTGCCTTTGGGGAAACTTCTGATGTATATGACCCTTCTTCCCTCAACCTGATCAGTTCCCAACAGGGCAAGAGCTCGGTTTTAGTAACCTTTATATCAATCACCCTCATAATGTATCCAATAAATCTTTCTTGGTTGACAGAGGGTAAGATCTTTCTTTTAAAGATGTACTCACTATAAATAACATTTTTATAAACTGGTCTTCAAGAAAGAGACCTGAGTTTGAGTGTAAAATGCTCTCCTAGTGAAAACCACATTTACCTGGTCCCTGTAACTCTCTTATAGTTGTCCTTGGAGTACACAGCTAGGATGCTGACACCTGAGCCCATGTTCACCAGCAGCATGGGGTATGGGTTATCAAGGCAGTACGGCTTCTTTTGACACAATTCAGGATTGGTGGGATTTTCAAAATAGTAACATTCCGGCTTGCCATTGAAGCCCACGGAGTCGACGTAGAGCAGGCCCTGAATCAGACAATCCAGTTCGTCCAGTTTATGGAGCTGCAGGTTCGCGATCTGAAAGAGAACACAACCCTGTGAATAGGCTGCCATGGCCTTCAGGGAAGCGCCAGAGACTTTTAGCTGGACTTCAAATGTGTCATTAACATTGAAAGTATGGAAACACCCAGAAACACCAAGTTGTAAAATCTTGTTGATCATTAGCCTGGCCGGACATCAGACGTCCTGTCTGCCCGCAGTGCGTGCTAAGGGGCGGCAGCTTGCCTGGCTGCAAGAAAAGCATCTCACTAGCATGTGTGGTGGTTTGAAGGGTGGCCCCTGAAAGGTAATGTCCATGTCCTAACTTTCAGAAGCCGTGAATGTTACCTTATTTGGAAAAAGGATCTTTGCAGATGTCTTTAAGTTAAGGATGCTGCATCCTGGATTATCTGTTGAGGATCCACTGCCAAGTTTCTTATGAGACACAAAGGAAAGACTTGATAGAGAGGAGGGCATGTCGAGATGACGGTAGAGAGGAGAGCTGCCCCACAGGCCAGCAGCCACCAGGAGCAAAGGACGTGATGAATGGAATCCGCCCAAGGGCCTCTGCAGGAATTGTGGTTCTGTCAATCCCTTGATTTCGTTCTGGCCTCCAGAACTACAGCTGAATAGATTTCTGTTGTTTTAAGACACTAAGTTGGCAGTAATTTGTTACAGCAACCAGATGGGACGGACAAATACAGCATAGCACTGAGCCAGGGGGACAATCTCCAGAGTCCAACTCCCTTTTCCAAAGCCTGGGCTTTGTGGTTAGGCAGACCTGGCTTTGAATTCTGGCTCTAACACTTACTTCACTGAGGGATGTGGGGCATGTTTCTTAACTTCTCAAGCCTTGGTTTCTCATCTGTGAAATGGGGATAATAATACCCTGTGCGGAGTGGTGTTGTGAAGATTATACAATCATATAAGTAAAATGTTGGCATGTACAAAAGACTCAACAAATGTTGGCTCTTTTATTAATAGCTGGTGTGGCCTCACAGTGTCCTTTCATGCTCGTAGGAGACAAAAAACTCCTGTTTTCCTAGGTACAGAGGGAGAAAGGTAAAGGGGAATGAGTCGGCCATGGGCTAGCCTTAGGGGTGAGTAGCCACTTTGCATCCTCAAAAGTTTAATTCATGATCCTCAACAATGGTATTTCTGCTGGTCCAAAGGTTGGGATGATGATAATTTTCCATGGACAAAAAATAACCTAACAAAAAAAATCAAGCAATCACCAACCTGAAACCGAAACTGAACCAATTATGAGGTCTAACTTAAAAAAATGTTTAAATCTATTTAAGAAAATAACAACTGGTAATTATTGTTTACTTCATGTCAAGCACTTGTACTAGATCATTTAATTCTCATAAAAACTCTGTAAGTAGTTACTGTTATCCTTATTGTACGGTTAAGGCTCACAGAACTTAAATAACTTCCCCTACACAATACAACTTGCAAATATCTCCCATAAACTTGCTGTTCTTCTCGTCTTCATTCCTAATGGGTACTGCCTCTGGGATCTGGAAACAACCTATAGAAGTGCTAGGCTATTTTGCCAAAAGGGGCATCCTCTTCATTACCAAAGTTAACCACTAGAAGAAAACTTTTGACTTGTGTCACTCACCTGAATTTCCCACTCAACAAAACCCACCGAAGCTATCCCTGCAGAACAGAATTAGTTAGAACAGCTACCATCAAGGTGGTAGAGCTTTTCTTGATACACAGAAACAAGCATTCTAAGTGATACCTGGTAATAAATTAAGTCTATCTCATGAATGATTCCAAACATTTCTGTTTTTACCAAGTGAAACTTTAGTGTGAGATGCCTTTAAAGGGGATAATGCTAGAATTATAAAAATGTCTGGAGACATAGCCGTGCAAATGCTACTCTCCCAGTCCTGGATTCCTGAGCCTCCTCTATCACACCTAAAGCTCTGGTCACATTCTGTTTGTTTTCTGGTTCATTGGGTGCCCCTGAGCACCAGGATCAAAGTCTTGTCCATAATAATTGCTCAATAAACATTGGCTAAATTAAAACAGGAAAGTGATCACTTCCTGGATCACCCCAAACTAAAAAGTAGCAATTTCATCAGCCAGTCTTGGGATCATAGGTTAGGCCGCTTAAAAATTAATCAGAGGTCTTTCAACAATATCAATAGCCACGTCCAGACAACATCACAAACATGGACAGAGACAGAGTCTGTCCAGCTGGACATCCTGAAACACTGTGCTAGGAAAAAGAAAAACCTGTCAGGACAAACAAACTAAGCAAAGGAAACATTGTTATCTTACCTTTCCCCTCAAAATCATTTTCAAAACAAGTGCTGGCACAAACAAACATCTCTTCTACACATTTTACTGAGGGGTGAATATTTCTGAAGCCTGAGGTCATACACCGCCCCCCCCAAACTGGGAACAGAAACATGAGTCGCTTTCATTAAGACCCATCCAGAAAAAGGATGGGTTCCCCTGTGTAGGCAGTGAGTCCAATCGTTACCTGGACTTTCATACATGCCATCTGAAATTCAAAACAGGTTGGGAATTACTCTTCTGACTTTGCAGTTCATTAGCACAACTGAAACAACTTTATGGAAAGCCTGAAACAGCATGTCTAGATCTTAGCCACAGAGAAACATTTTCTCTGGGCTTAGTTTTCTTTGTATCGGTGATTCCTGCATGCCAAAATTGGAAAAAATATGGATCCCAAACACAACGTATGGTCAGGATGCAACTGTAAGAGATTCTCTTTATGTGCTTCAACTCAGTCTGTCAACAATAACTAAATAGCTAAACACATTTTTAAAATCTGGTAAAAAGCATCCCAAGAGGTTCTAAACCCACATACTCCACAGGGGAGTGTGGCCTATGGACCTACCCAAACCAGGTTTATCACTCTCCTGTAGCTGAGAAGTGGGTCTCCACACTGGATTTCAGAACTGAATAAATACACATCTGTGTGATACCCTGCATTTCCCTAGGTGCTTCTGCTGACTCTGGCTCTATAAATCTTATTGGAAATGGCAGCAAAGATTATCTTACTAAACCAAGAACAATTTGCATATAAAATGGTTGGTCCTGAATTACAAATTCCGCTCATGGCACTTTCTCGGCAAAGAGAACTAAGAGAGACCCGAGAGAGGAATCTCAACTGTGTTCCAGCGAGTGAGGAAGGGAACAAAACACCAAGCCCGGCTCCTTCCTCCCCACACTCCCAGCTATGAAAGGGGCCATCTGTGAGCGGTCAAGGCGTGGAAAACGACCCTGTCTACCAAAACTTGTGCTCTTGCACACTCACAAACCAGTCCTCAGATTAATAATAGGAACCAATATAATAAATGTTCTTGAATAGTCACTTTAGATTTAGAATAAATATCAGATATCCACAATTACCCTACTCCCTCCGGATGACTTTTCCATCATTATTAACTTTTGTAGATCACTCCCTCAAGGAAAGTCCATGCTTAAGTCCTCACACCTTAAAACAACAACAACAACAACAACAAAGTCATGAAACAATCAGGAAACCCTTTTCTCATCCCTAAATCTCATGTCTACCAAATAAGATTTGTTATATCCTGTTTGCTCAGAAAGCAGGTCTTTTTTTTTTAAGTAATTAAAAGAGTCACTTCTAACTTCTAGTCAATGTTACTCTTGGACTGAAAAAACCCCACAAAGAAAAGTATCTATTGTAATGATGAGCTAGGTAGACAAAAAGGATGATTTCTTTTTTTCTATAAATTTTCTGTTGTTAGAATACCTTGCATTCTAAAAAATGCTCTCGTTGAAGTTAGAAAGTGTAGTTATGGGTGAAAATATTAGATTTGGTACATAAAATAATCTGGGAGGTTCTTGAAAACAAAACACATTAGGCCCTGGCTGGTTTGGCTCAGCGGTTAGAGCGTTGGCCTGCGGTCCCGGGAGACCCGGATTTGGTTCCTGCTAAGGGCATGTACCTCGGTTGCAGTTTGTCCCTGGCCCTGGTTGGGTCGTGCGGGAGGCAGCCACTAGATGTGTCCCTTTCATGTCGATGGTCTCTCTCTCTCTCTCTCTCTCTCTCTCCTTCCTACTCTATCTGAACAAAAAACGAAAAAATGTCCTTGGGTGAGGATTAAAAACAAAACAAAACAAAACACATAGAATATAGGCAGTAGGGATAAGCATCAAGCTAACTGAAACCTGCAGTGTTTAGTGTCCTGGTGCGGAACACACATGACCCTCCCCTGGGGAGGGGGGTTCCTCTAACCAGGGGGGTCCCTCACGGGCTTACCAATTTCTTTCTTATCAATTTTGAAGGTTAACTTTTGTCAATTCAGAATTTTGTGATAGTGACCCTAAAATCTTAAAAGGAAGAGGAGAGGGAGGGAGCAAATGAGGGAAAAAGGGAAAGAAAAAGAAAGAAATGCAGCTTTGTTCAGTTGAAAGTAATCTACACAGGGGTCTAATTTAACTATGTATGAACAGAACATAGTCATCAGTCATAACTGCTGGACTTTCAAGGTCTGCTAAACACCTTCTGTGAGTCCTACTTACTCAGATTTTTAAAATGTGTATCTGCAAAGCTGTATTACACCAGAAACAGTGATTTTGTACAATAACAATGACAGGACTTTACAAATATGCTTTATCATTTATCAGGTGTTTAATAGATAGAGTAGTAAACACTGATCCTTTACAACTAAGTAAGCACCTTCAAGGTTCTGTTCTGGAATGGAGAAGAGCTTGGATTTGGCATACCTAAGGGCTTAACACTTACTGTTCTCTCTGCCTAAAATTCTCTGCCTCTGACACTGGCCTGGTTGCTTTATTACCTCTTCATGTCTCTACTCTGATGTTACCTCAGCACACAAAGACCATCCCAGCAGTCCCTGTCCCCCTTGCCCTGCTTGTCTCTCCACTTATTGCCCTTTGCTTTATTCCACATACACTTGCTTATCTGGCGACTGATCATGTCCCTGTGCTAAAATATAACTTCAAGGGGACAGGGGCTTAGTTCTGTTCTTTACAGTACTTGGCACATAGAAGGAACACAATAAATACTTGCTGACTGAGTGAATGAATATTCAGGAAAGAGGATGATAAAACCTATTCATCGGGCAGTGTTGTTCAGTGGTTAAGCATGGACCCATGCACCAAGAGCTCGCCGGTTCAATTCCTGGTCAGAGCACATGCCCAGGTTGTGGACCCAATCCCCGGTGGGGGGCATACAGGAGGCAGCCGATCGATGTTCTCTCTCACTGATGTTTCTATCTCCCTCCTTTCCCCACCCCTCTCTAAAATAAAAAAAAATTTTTTTTAAACTATCCATCCTCACAAACTTTAGAAAGATACAGGCACATCACATAGTACACTGACAAACAGGCTATGGAAAGAGATCGGTATTCTTAAATTCTGCTTTACTTTGGCCAAGACTGAGCATGGAAACAGAAGGCAGACCACGTACTTTCTCTTAAAGATGGATGTTCCGCCTGGCCAGGCTGTTTGGCTAATACAGTCATGTGGCACAAAACATTTTGGTCAATGAGGGACTGCGTGTATGATAGTGGTCCCATACGGTTATAATGGAGCTGAAAAATTCCTATTGCCTAGTGACATTGTAGCCATGGTAATCATAGCACAACACATTACTCATGTGTTTGTGGTGCTGCTGGGGCAGAAAAACCTACTGCGCTGCCAGTTGTATAAAAGTATAACACATACAAGTATGTACAGTACATAATATTTGATAATGATAAGAACAACTATGTTCCTGGTTTCTGTATTTACTATTCTTATCATTATTTCAGGCTGTATGCGCTCTACTTATAAAAAAATATAAGCTTGCTGTAAAGCCCACACCATGTTATGCCAGCAGCAGCCTCACACACGTGGTGCATACGACATCTCATGATCGTATCATTTTTCTCTGTGCTTGATTTATCTCATGTTGTTTTGTACAGTAATAGGCTATACAGGCTTGTAGGCCAGGGGCAATAGGCTACTATACCATATAGCAGTAGGTTACACCATGTATATTTGTGTGCTTGCACTCTATGATGTGGCATCACAACAAAACTTCTCAGAACGTTTCCCGTTGTTACACGGCACATGACTGTACTTCACATTTGCTCCCTGCTCCAGTCTATTCATTAGGTTTCAACAGCCTGCCTAAGGGAGCAGAGGCTTTTTTACCTTGATTGAAATAAGATACAATCTTTCTCAGTTCAGAACCTTGAGAAACACACTTGCTCATAGCCAACGTATATTGAGTAATTTCCTCCCAGAACACACGTTACCCCAGAGGAGGGATGCAGGCATTGACAGACATTGCATAAATGCTCCAGGACACTTGGTTCACTTCAGGCTCCCCAGTGGAGACCGACACACAGGGTGACCTTGAGTGACCTACAGAGATCACAGCACTAGGGCTGGGTCAGCAGTCCTTCTGTCTGAATCAGAATTGAGGTGATGGCCTTGCTCTTTCCTAGGGGACACTCCTAGGACGTCTTACTCTCTCTTAAACTTTAGTTTTCTAAGCCCATGTAGCACAAGAATGCCACTATACTTCCTATCCTCCAGATGTCACTTCTAGCTAGTTCTGATATCCTAAATATCAGATGATGCAACTGAGGCCCACAGGAGGGACATACCGTACCCTAAGTCACCCAGCTAGTTAAAAGAAGACATAGGACTGAAATTCAAGTTCAATGCTTTTTCACTTAGGCATTCAAATTTAATTTTCATGTTCCCAGAGCTCAACCTTCTCAGTTTCACAATTCTTTGATCACTGGGCCTCTTTGATGGGAAAAAGATCCCATGAATCATTTAATTAGGTGGCAGCGTCAAATTCTACTGCTTCGTAGGGAAATGGGACACAGAAAAAAGATGCCAAACCCTGAAGAGAATCAGTCTCACTTAGGATACCATGTAAGACTCCATTGCCAGCTCTTCTAGAAACTACTTAGAATAATCAGTGAGATGAACGATGTTACCTTTGACGATACAAATGAAAGTTTCACTTACAACGTATATGACTAACATATCGACTCATTAATTGGCTCATTCATGACAGACTTTATGACAAGACTGGAGTCCATCAGTCCCCGGCAGTCCCTGGTTCGGCAGCACACATACGTTACTTCCATGACCAAATGCCAGTAGTTTGTACTCGAGGATCTGAGGACATGTATTTTACATCTCACCTCACTATATTTTCAACTTTGTGGCAGGACTAATCCCCACATCTTCTCCCGTGTTCAACCAGTTCCACAACTCCAGTTTCCTTTATTTCCTCCACCTGTTATTTTAGTCTCACTTTATTCCCTGTGAGATGAGGCTGGACAGCACAGAGACTACCTCGACTGTAAAGATGGAAAAATTGGAACACACGGTGTTAAGGGATTGCTAAACAGAGAGAAGGTTTGAACTCTATGTCACTCATTCGTATCTTCCATTGAGCTAAATTTGTCAAATCTAAATGAGCAACACAGAGTTGGAATGCCCTGCCAGTCAGGATACGGCCTTATTCTTACTATGTAGCATCCTACTCTCTCCAATGTGTTCATTAATAAAGGAATTCATCCATAAATAATATCAAAGATTTCATTTCTTGTTTGTGAGCAAAACTCTGAATGACATTCACAAAACAAAAACAGAGTGCAAATGGGTAGACAGAAGTAATCATTTTTAGTCAGATTTACAGAAAGCCTCTCCTGTGGGCCTCGGTCTATATATCTATAAAACTGGCACAGTGACCGGCCATTGTGGCTCAGTGGTTGAGTGTAGACCCATGCACTAAGAGGTCGCCGGTTCGATTCCCGGTCAGGGCACATGACCAGGTTGTGGGCCTGATACCCAGTGGCGGGCATGCAGGAGGCAGCCAGTCGATGTTCTCTCTCATCGATGTTTCTAGCTCTCTCTCTATCCTTTCCTCTCTCTCTAAAACCAATAAAAATATATATATTAAAAAAATAATAAATAGCCCTGACCAGTTTGGCTCAGCAGTTGAGCATCGGCCTGCGGGCCAGAGAGTCCCAGGTTTGGTTCCTACTAGGGGCACGTACCACAAAAAATAAATAAATAAATAAGTAAATAAATAAATAAATAAATAAAACTGGCACAGTGACTATGCTTTTCAAGAAACTGTGGTAAGTGTCTGTAGAAAACTCTAAAATACTTCGGAAGGAAGTTTTACAACATCTAGTCTTGAGCATACTGTGCAGCTCTAATTATAACGAAAGTGGTGATGATAACTAATGTTTAATGAGCAGTAACGAAGGGCCAGGTACATATTATCTCATTTGCTCCTTCATGTAATAATCCTATGAGGTAGTAACTATTCAAATAGATGAAAAAAACTGAGGCATAGAGAGGTGAAGTAAACTAGTCCAAAATCCCAAGGTTAGTAGCAGTCTAGTCCTTCAGTATGAGGTGCCATGGTTATGGACATGTGAGAGGTTTTCTTTCTTTCTCTAAAAGGTGGTTCTGTCATTTTAACAAGAACAAGCCCACATACCATTCTGAAGTCCTCCTCAAACTTGAAAGCCCCGCCTCCCGTGGCACAGAGCGTGGTGTGAAGGCTGGAGAAGTTCTTTTCACTGCCCATCTGGATGAACAGGTGCATAGCACAGGTGGGGAAGCGGATGAAGTGCAGGTTGCCTTTGCGCCCACACATGGTCAAGTTTTTCAGTTCCAGGTGGACATCTCGGATCCCGGTTTTCCCATAAGCGATGTTAGAAGTCAAATACTTTCTGATGCTCTTCAGGTTCTCCACTTCCTCTTGTTCCTCTTCAGCTGTAATATCCTTCGGTTCAAAGTAGACCAGTTTAACCAGAGTTCCACCGATATCCATGCCGAACCATGGGAATGCTAGAGGACAGAAAGACACAGGGCCACTGAATTTTACGCATGGAAAGAAATATTCGATGTTTAAATATTCAGTAATGAAATGCCATGGTGCCACACCCAATATGTGCATTTAACTTCAGTTTACTTGATTTCAAATACATGTGCCAAAAGAAAAGACAAGCAAGGAGAAATTCACAATTTAAATGGTGCCCATGATTCTGCCCATACCCTTTTCCATTAGAGTCTGTGTCGGGACTGACTTTGAGATGAGAAATCGGATTCTGCAGTTCCTTAGGCCAGTCTCAATTCCCATGTGCTCCTCAGGGCTCAAGGATCTCACCAAGATAGGTGTAGTTCCAATACTTAAAAGACACATATTTTGCATGCATCATGGCTCTCAAATGTTTCATCAGAAACTTAGCCAGAGAAATAGTGACCTGATGCCAGAGGGAAAACCAGCTGTGCTAGGTGTACCAGTAGACGGTGTGTTGATCTTGAACCCTCATGGTGCCTTCCTAGGGCACTTTTCAATGATTGTTTTTACAGTATTAGCGTTGTGCCCCCATGAGCTGACTTTATAAGGCAAGACTCCCCTGCTTTAATCTACAGAACAAACAGGAAGCAGAAAGGAAGAGAACGTAGACAATGAGAGATGATGGGCAGGTAGGACAATGGCTATGGTGGTGGAATTCTAAAGAGAACAGCTCCTGTTACATCTCCTTTCTTTCTTCAGTAAGTAGAAACACTTGCTCCATCTCAAATGGTCTACCCAGAAGTCCCCAACCCAGCTGTGTGTTAGAATTCCCTTTAACATTCCAATTTCTGGTCTCCTCTCTCACAGATTCTGATTTGATTCAGGGGTGGGAACTGGGCATGGGTATCTTTTAAAAGTTCCCCAGTGGTTCCAATCTACATACTTGGGAACTGCTACCCCAGAAGAACCACAGCCACTGACAGGCAAGCCCACAAATCAGCAGAGCTCCGGACCAGGACTGCAACACGAAGGCCTGCTCTAGATGTAGGTATACAGTGCCTCACAGATGACGCTTTTTGGTCCATTTTCTAAAAGTCACTGCATTGTATAAACACATACACACACAGTCACAGGTGGGTCGTCTTATAAGATTGTTTTGTTGTAACAGTGATGAAATGCCACAGAAACTTAACTCTTGTTTATATTAATTAGCCGATGGAAAAACTGGTTTCACATTGCCCTGGCCGGTTTGGCTCAGCGGTTAGAGCGTTGGCCTGCGGTCCAGAGAGACCTGGGTTCGGTTCCCAGTAAGGGCATGTACCTCGGTTGCAGTTTGTCCCCGGTCCTGGTTGGGTCATGCGGGTGGCAGCCACTTGACGTGTCCCTTTCATGTCGATGTTTCTCTCTCTCTCTCTTCCTCTCTCCCTCCCACTCTATCTGAACAAAAATGAAAAAATGTCCTCGGGTGATGATAAAAAAAAAAGGGAAAACTGGTTTCACTATATGTCATTTTACTTAAAGTCACAGAAACTACTGACATTACATGAGGACTTACTGTGTGTGTGTGTGTGTGTGTGTGTATGTATAATTATTTTTCTTAATCTGCTGAAGTTGTTGTCTTATGTCAAAATGAATCTCCACTGTAATTACTTTTATTATTAAGAGAAATGGCTGAGTTCCCTAAGCAGCCTGACTTTATTTAGAGGCAACCTGAAAAGTTAATGCTATGCTGTCAAATTCTCTGCAGTGAACACAGCACACCCAAAAGAGTAACCAAAATCCACAGCCTCTTTCCATCCCCTCGGTAGACTCTGGGGGCTAAATCTGAAACTGTGAAATTAAAACCGAGTAAAGACACAGGGAGCTAAAAGGACTTCCTTCGAAAAGTTTATTTCATGTAGCCCTAGAGAACGTCCAGGCGAGCCCTGGTCACACTGTGCTCATTATACCTGGAGACGACATTGCCAGGAACGTAAGTGGGACCTGCAAACGTTCTTTTTCCTAAACAGCCCTACTGCCCTGTCCCTCCGTATGCTGAGGAGGGGGGAGAGGTCCGTGGGAGGAAGCCACCCCTGCACAGAATCTTTCCTCCCTCTGCTGCCGCTTGTCCTCCCTGCTCCGCACGGCGTAAGCAGCAACTCCCACAGTATGGAAAAGCAGAATTCCAAACTCCCCAAAGATTACGATCAAGAAATTCCACTGATCAGGCCACGTTAACAAATCTCCTACTATCTTAGCAAAACAAATTCCACATGGCCCAGTGTAGGCTGGGAAGCTTGCTCCTTCTAGCATAAGATAATAGAAACCTGGAAACAGTTCATCCCTACTCGTCAGTTCAGCTCGCGGATGCCGTGTCTCGGTCCATTTTCTAACACTCACTTTGCCGTCCGTGTGACCCACAGTGTAGGGAAAGACATGGCCAAAGAACCAGGGTTTAGAAAAACTGCTTTCCAGAAACAGCTAGTTCACTGCAACTCCTTCTACCTCTCTGCACCTCAATCCCCTTATCTGTGAAAAGAATGAATGGTCTCCAGTTCCCTCCCTACTATAAATTTTCTATGGATTCTTTAAGAAATATATTTTTTAAAAATCACAACTATCCCTAATCATAGAGGCTGACCATCACCCTAGCTTGTTTTTAAATATGTTTTTACTGATTTTAAAGAGGAACGGAGAGGGAGAGAGAAACATCGATTAACTGCCTTTCATATGCTCCCCAAGGGGGATTTAACTTACAACCTGGGCATGTGTCCTGACTGAGAAGCAAACCAGTGACCTTTCAGTTCACGGGACATTGCTCAACCAAATGAGCCACTGGTCAGGGTCATAGCCCTAGTTTTAAACTCTAATGAAATATTCTATGCCAGGTGGTTGGGCTATGCAATCAGTATTGCAGTTATGATTCATTTTCATCAAAGTAGGGTAGACACCTACACCTGGATAGAATGGGGGAAAAGGTGCTCTGGAACACTATTAGGGTAACCATTTTGGAAAGACTCAAGTGACAGCTATTAAAATGAAAAGTACATAACCCTGGCCTAGTGGCTCCGTTGCTTGGGCATTGTCCCATGCACCAAAAACTTGCTGGTTCCATTCTGGTCAGGGCACATGCTTGGGTTGCAAGCTTGATCCCCTGGTAGGAGGTGGCAGGAGGCAGTTGATGGATGTTTCACTCTCACATCAATATTTCTTTCTCCCTCTCTCTTCCTCTCTCTCTAAAAAAAAATCAATTATAAAAATAATTTTTAAACTACTCATACATTTTTAACCCAGTTAACCCCTCTTCTGGACCATATTTTACAAATCACCAGTGTTGAAGGATAGGTATAAGAATATTCACTGCAGCACCCTTCAGAGGGGCCAAATTAAAAACAAGCACACAGCCCTGGCTGGTTTGGCTCAGCGGTTAGAGCGTCGGCCTATGGTCCAGAGAGACCTGGGTTCGGTTCCCGCTAAGGGCACGTACCTCGGTTGCGGTTTGTCCCCGGCCCTGGTTGGGTCGTGCGGGTGGCAGCCAATCGATGTGTCCCTTTCACATTGATGTTTCTCTCTCTCTCTCTCTCTCTCCCCCTCCCTCCCTCCCTCCCTCCCTCCCTCCCACCCTATCTGAACAAAAAATGGAAAAATGTCCTCGGGTGAGGATAATAAATAAATAAATAATAAAATAAAATAAAAACAAACACACAAACAAAAACTGGAAACAAAAGTTCATGCCCTTTAATGAGGAAAGTGTTCAATAAAATGTATGACTTCCAAATCGTGAAATACTATAGCCATTAAAGAGAATGAATGAGACCTATATTAGCTGCCTGGGGAGATATCCCCAATTCTCTGTTAATGAGAAAAGCAAAAGATTCTTAAAGCATAAATAATTTATTTATCCTATTTTGTTTGAAAAGAAAGGAGTAAGGATGAGAGGGGGAAAGAGAAGAAAGGAGGGAAGGACAGGAGGACGGAAGGAAGGGAGACCCCTATATGTTTGATATGAGCCCACAGAACTGTACAGAAGGCCACCCCTCCAGGTTGGTACTACTGTTAGGAAGTGGCAGGATGAGCAGGTTGTTTGGGTGGAGGCTAGAGATCAGGGGAGGGGATGGAGAAAATTCTACACGTAGAACTTTCAGCAGATACAGAAGTAAAGAAAACAATTATTCAGTGATAATCAAAGTTAGGAGACATCTCAACACAGAATGGACAGAACAAGCAGTGTGAAACCCAGAAAATAAGTTAGTCTGTACCAGAAATCGAGTATCCACCCAGCCTCACCTGGCACCGGCCCTCTGGGATGAAGAGTCTCTACATGGCCTTTTGTGTGGTTGAATATCTGGAAGTGCAGGCACCTGCAAAGAAGTCTCACTTTTTAAAACAAGACAGGTGGCACCTAAACATTTTATGTTATTCAGAGTCCTGGTTTCTTCTTCCTGCTTCACCTCCAGCTCATTTTTCAGCCATTTCAAAGCTTTTGTTGGCAACTCAACAAAACAGTGGGAAAAGGTGTCAAGTTTTGAAAATTCAGCAGTTTTAGTTTAAATGGCGGTAGAAATGGTTTTCACTGACCTCTGTTCCTTCCTTACCTTCATAAAAAATGGAATGCTCTTGTATTCATAGCTTCCTGCTTTTATAGGACACTGTCATATTGTAAATGTGCAGTTGTATTTATCTCCCTGACATCAAGGTCTCCCTAAATCTACACTTTCCATATACAAGCTGCGGACGGAGATAGAAGAGAAGGGGAAGGAAGAACATCCCAAAGCAGCTACCCTTTATGATTCACTTCTTATTCAATCCAGGATACCCAGATGTCTTGATAAAATCAGCTGAACCACTGATAAGAGTCTGTGTTTGTCAGAAGTGATGGTGGTTCTAGACACAGAATGTTTGCTTTCATCCTTTACTCCTCAGTCTTACACCAGATGGCATTTTCAAAAATCTCTAGAATATTTATCAAGAACATTCGGCAGGAGATGAGGTTCAAACTGCACAAAAAGACTTAAGTAAACTACTCATTCAAAATGGTTCCTACTCTACTGAGGTGTGTCCAAAGTAG